TTTTTTTTTTTTTTTTTGAGGTGGAAGCTCACTCCATTGCCCAGGCTGGAGTGCAGTGGCACACTCACGGCCACCCCTGCTGGCTTCCAGAATCTTTCTGCCACAGACTTCCAAGTAACTAGAAGTACAGATGCATGCTACCACGGCCAGCTAATTCCTTTTTTGATTTATTGTAGAGACAAGGTCTTGCCAAGTTGCCCCAAGGTTGGTCTTGAATCCACGGGCTCAGGCAATCCACTCACCTTGTCCTCCCAAAGTACTGGGATTACAGGCTGAGCCACCCAGCCCAGCCTGCTCAAATTTTTTTTATTGTAGTTTGTATGAATTATAGCAATAAAAATTATCTGTGTGTACAATATTGCATGGTGTATATTTTGGTATACATGCAATTTAAGTATATACATATTTATTTTTAATTGAAATCAAATATCAGTGTCACTGGGAAAAATATAGATATACTTTTATTATTAATATTGATGTGTTATCTCAAGGCAACTTTTTTGAAGAAAAAAGACTATTAGAAACCGTATTTAGTAACAATTGAGTTTTCAGTTCCTTTAAAATAACAACTCGCTTTTAACTAACATATTAAAATAATTCCTGAAAGTGCAGATTAGGTTATTGCCCTGAGAAAATTTAACTTATACATGGATTTACAAAAGATTCATGTTAAGCAATATGTTGAAATATGATTATGTTTGCAGTATTTAAAAATGTGCCCATTAAAAATTATCTGGTTAAAATAATTCACTTCTTTGAAGCTGTATTAAAGGGAAGCATTTAAAATAAGCTTAGAGGTACTTATTTTTAAAACAAAACATTTGCAGAATTGTGGGGGTCCTGCTCCCGCCGGGTCTTGGGTTTCCTGAAGAAGAGACAAATAGGTGAAAGACTAAAATAATATACTCGGACACCTGCTTGCTGAACAGATGACAATTTATGTGAGTTAACACAGAGTTTTTATACCATTCATAAAGGGGCAAGACAAATAAAATTCCTTCACGTACATATTCTTCAAAAGTTACCACCATCTAGTGGTCTAGAAGCTACAAACAAGCTAAGAACACTATCTGCCTTTAGTCAATGAGTCATTCATAAAGCCAAAAATGATAGTTTAAGTCCAAAGTCCCAAATTACAGTCCTTGAAATGTCTCAAGAAAGTTTCCAAGTGCACATTTCTCCATGTATCAGAGTTTACTTTCTGGGGCTTCTATGATCTCCAAAGCTTCATAATCACCTCCTTTGTCCAGGTGTATTTGTTAGTTTTCTCTTATCCTGCAGTGTTTATTTCTAAAGAAAACTCAAAAGAAGCTTTTAGTGATGTTTCCCAGGCTCCCAAGTTTGCTTTCTGCCTTTAGTTAATTTATCATAAAAGTATCCAATTAGTATATTATGAATTCAGTGAAAGCCCACTCTATAAACGTTAACTTAGAATTTTAACTATTGAATTAAGTAAAAACCTTAACGATTAATCTTCATCCTAAGTCTGTGAAAACAGTGTTATAAATCACCCTACATAACTCCTAGATAAGTGTTAGAACTTATAATGAATTCATAATGAACTTACTATAAACTTATGCTTCTAAAAAACCTCATGTCTAAACACTAAACTACATAATTCTAAATCAAATCAGGAGTGAATATACTTATATCAGTTTTTACTCAAACAATATCTAATAACTTATAACCAAGTGAAAGAAAGCATTCTTGATGTGCTTCAGAGTTTAACTATTGCATATGTTAGAAAAGGCCAAATGGCATAATGGGAAATGGAAAAATGAACCAACATTTCCAGGTTAGCTGTGAGTACTTCACATAAACATGCCATTTTCTTCTTCCACGACTGCACAGAATTCTTCGGCCGTACCAAATAGCAAAGGTGGAAGACAGAAGGGCCTCAGCTTCCCAGGCTCGCCCTGTGGCCTGGGGTCTTTGACCCACCAGGACCCTGTCAATCAGGTGGGCCTCCAAGGCTGGCTCCTAACACAGAATATTTGTAGCCTGACGTGGTGGCTCACACCTACAATCTCAGCACTTTTGGAGGCCAAGATGAGAGAATTGCCTGATCCTACATGTTCGAGACCAGACTGGGCAACATGGCAAGACTCTATCTCTATAATAAATCAAGAAACATTAGCTGGGCGTGGTGGCATATGCGTGTGGTTCCAGCTTGGAAGGCTCAGGCGGAAGGATTGCCTGAGCACAGCAGGTCAAGGCTGCATTGGCCATGAGCATACCACACTGCACTCCAGTCTGGTTGACAGAGTAAGATTCCAACTCTCAAATAACAAACAAACAAAAAACAAGAAAGAATATTTGTGAGTACTCTGTAGCAGGCAAATGCCAATCAGATTATAAGAAATAAGAGAAAAGAGGAGTAGCATCTTTGTTATAAACCTAAAATATATCTTTGTAGTTTCAGACTGTTTATTAATTTTCATTGACTAAGTATCCAGGCTTATACCAATTGAACACTGTCTTAATTATTCTAAATTTATAAGAGGTAGTATTGAGTAGCAGACCAAATAAATCAGAGTCAATTTTGGGCATAGGTACTCAAAAAACTTCCTGACTGATAACAATGAATAGCAAACATGAAAATCACTCCAGTAAGAATTTTTGAGCAGTTTCCAAAGTTTCTACCAGGGCTGTGGAAAATCCATCTGCAGATTTAAATGTGACTCACTCTGCGAAAGACACTATATTCATCGGTCTCCTAAATACAGCCTAAATGCTATTCCTTAGAGAAATCTTCACATCTGTTAATCTGCTTTAACATGATGGGTCTATAATATTAACTGCTTTCCAACTGAAATTTTACTGTTGAATTTATTTTTTCTTTTTTCCAATTTATGATCTAGTCTTCAGTTTTTTAAAAAAATTACTGTGAAGCAAGAATTACTTGATAAACCAATAAAACTATTTTGTTTAAAGACCTTTCAAAATCCCACAGCTTTAATATATACTTTTAACGTTTTTATTGTTATACTTAAATTTAGTGGAAAATGGGCTTCTTATTAGTTATCGGGTTTTAAACTCATAAATCCCTTTCATTAAGTCTTTTTTATTAAGATTTAGCTAACTCCCACAAGCATTTGATAATATTACTGTGAAAGATTTGGGCTCACTGAGATCTACAATTGCAAAAGATTTTTTAAGTATAAAATGCAGTTGGAAATAATTTTCTGTTTGTAATTTAAAAATAAAAGCTGAGATAATACTTGTGTTCAGGTACTTACACCATATGCAATAATCTCAGTACACCCAGGTCCCTTCAGAACGTTCTTAATATTTGTAGGGTCAAGACATTTAAATACACTTAGAACACAGTGGTGGGAAATGTCCAGAATAAGAAGAAATGAAACAGGTCAGATGGTTTTTAGGAGTTACTTAACAGCCACCTCAGACAAATGAAATGTTGAAAAGATTTGAGAGGAGTGATTTTGGTCCTTCTCAGGATGGTGATATACAAGTTGTAACCATTAAAGTGTGTTCATTAAGGCACACTTTGAACAATCTAATTCCTTGGTTCTGGTCTTTGTCTCAGTTATTTTTCATTTAGTCTTGCCCAGTACCGTCATGGCAGGTAGGCTGTTAGAAAGAACTAAACATAATAGAAATTTAACAATTGCAGAGGCCAAATTAGTGAGGCACTAGAAGCTTGGATGTGGAAAGTAGTCACGTGGGGAGGGGAAGTAGAGGAAACAGGTCACTAAAGAATCACTGAGCAGAGGGTGGTGGATGAAAGGTCAGGAGAAGCAGAAATGAGACACGTTGATGGTGCAGGGAACAGGGAAGTTGTTTGTCAAGTGGTAGAAACAGAATCTGTGGGGCAGGTGTGTGACTGTCACTAATCTCCCAGGAACTGTGTTTTCTGAACTCGATCCTTGTAGAAAGCCTGGCGCTTGCAATTTATACAAGGGGTCTGTTCTTTGAATTTACTCCAGAAGCCTGGGAATTGCCAGAGAAGCCCATTGTTAGAATTGATCACGCAAAATCTTAGGAGCAGAGGCAGAATAAAACAGTTCCTTGGATCCTGCCCAGAAGTTACAAGTGGCCTTGTTCTGTTGAAGTGCCCTTCGAGCCTCAGCATTTCTCAACGTGATGTCAATCTCACACACTGAGATCAACCCTAAGTCCACCTGTCAGTGGAAGGAAAGTTAGCACAGAGTAGGGTGAGTGACGTGCAATCTCCTGTAAGCCTGCGTAGGAAGGGCTAGAACACATCTTGCTCATTTTAACTGAGCCTTTTATTTCATTGCACTCATCATTTTGATATGCACATTCCTTTCTCCGTCATCCAGTAAGTCTTAGTATGTAACTAGGGAGACATTAATAGTGTCATTATAGTTCTCATTTTGCTGGACTGGGCTGCTCCTTCATTTGAACATCATTTAGCTTGTTTTGTGCCTTTCATTTTCAATTGGGTATGTTCCCCATAGCCTTTTTGAATAGTCTTACTATTCTTTTGTATAATAAGACTTTGCCTAAGTAGGTTCAAACCAATAAATACAGTAGTAGGCATGTTGGCTATGTTTTCCCTTAACTATTCATATCATCACATTTTGCAGTCAGTTGATCATATTAATGCATGTGTGTATGCATGTACATAGTTAAATCATGTTTATTTCACCAACAACTTAGTATCCTCCAAGAAACTTAGGTGCACAGTGTATTCAGTATCAAACTATGTAGCTAGTTGGCACCAAGCTTGTTCTCATATTTATGAGGCTGTATCTGAAAATGATGGAAGAAATTTTGTCCACGTTTTTTTAGATCAGTTGCCAAAGGTGTATTTTCCTTCCTTTTCATCTTTTGCTGTTGTTCTCTCCTTTGCTTTTAGCACTGCAGAGCATTGTTCGTCATCCACCGTTTTATATTTGTGTCTGAGAAACACAAAATAAGTTTTTCTAAAAAGGGTCAAAATGCTTGGAAAATTGTTGAATTCATAGACTAAAGATGGCCAAAATAATATGTTGTTTCTGTGTTTTCTTTTCCAGGGCAGAACTGTGGAGGCTTAGTCCAGGGTCCCAACGGCACCATCGAGAGCCCAGGGTTTCCGCACGGTTATCCCAACTATGCTAACTGCACCTGGATCATTATCACAGGAGAACGCAATAGGATACAATTGTCATTTCATACCTTTGCTCTGGAAGAAGATTTTGATATTTTATCAGTTTACGATGGACAACCCCAACAAGGGAATTTAAAAGTGAGGTAAAGTACTGGCTCTTCATATTATAGATTAGGTAACCCTGTTTGAACACTCAGATTCTGAAATCTAATTGGAATTAATATTTAAATTTAGTAACAAGAGAAAAATATATAGTTACCATGAAGACTGTAGATTTGTGTCAAATTGTACACATTTTTTCCATACTTAAAAGGCAATTTCTTATTGAAAGTTATCATTGACTTCATTTATAGATATCAAATCATTCAAGTTCTGTAAAACAGTGTTGCCAAGGTAATTTAAATACAGTTATATTACACCCTTGTTTTCAAGCAATATGAATTTGAGAGAAAAAGTACAAGATAAATGCATGAGTACAATTCAGATAATGCAAAAAGAAACCTTTCTGCTGTCAGAGAATACATTCAGTAAAAAGAACGTAGGAGATGGGTGGAGTGAGAACATTTAAGTATCTGGCATTCTTTGGAGAATTTTTTTATTTAGACAATCATGAGTATATTCTATTCATCATTGATTTTCTTTTTTGATCCATAATTTTACCGTGAAGAAAGCAAAATATTTCCTGGGATAATTTTAAATTGTACTCTACATTTGTTAACAACCAAAAAAAAACAATGTGACTATACAACTATATCTATGCTTTATTTTTCAATTTGACAAAGGAACAAGGGATATCTCTTTTATTTATTTTTATTTTTATTATTATTTTTTATTTATTTATTTTTTGAGTTGGAGTCTCACTCTGTCACCCAGACTGGAGTGCAGTGGCCTGCTGGGCTCCGGCGATCCTTCCGCCTCAGCCTTCCAAGTAGCTGGAACTATAGGCGTGCACTATCACGCCTGGCTAATTTTTTTGATTTATTGTAGAGATGAGGTCTCGCCAAGTTGCCCAGGCAGGTTTTGAACCTGCGGACTCAGGCAATCCACTCACCTCAGCCTCCCAAAGCACTGGGATTACAGGCTGAGCCACCTAGCCTGACTGATCTCTTTTAAAGATATCAGACTTTCTTAACTAAATTTATGAACATATCCAAATATATACACATATATTTAAAACAAGACTTTATACTTTGGTCTTGCACTTCTGCATTAATTGGAGATTGTTTATTTAATATATGGAGGCTTATAAAAATTGACAAAAGGTAGAAGGCATTGTACTGTTTAAATCAATAAAATGGTGCTGATGCTAATGCCAACAATAATACACACAAAAATCATATATTCATTCATGATTTTGAGGATGAGAAAAAATGCTTTAACAACAAAAAATTTTGTTTGTATGTCTAGCTAATAATATCTATATTTTTATGCTAATCATATGGTCAATGAATTAAATATAAAATATATTTCATTAATATGTTTTCAAATATATTTTATTTGCATTTACTTTACACATTTTAAAATACAAATCGTCTACTTTTTCTGTGTCATCTATAATATATGTTTCCTGTTTTTAGAAACTTTTTTTCATTTTATATATTGCACAATGATTCTTTTCTGAATAAGTTAGGTAAACACACTTTGTATAACATTTATGGTCCTATATTTGGATGTTTGAGCAAAATATATGCGTATATAATCCTTACTAATTTGATGCAAGCTTTGTTACCATTACATCTGCTCTTCTAAAGATTATTTACTAACTTGTTTTTATCTCAGCTATCAACACTACTAGGCAATATTGGTATGCTGTAACAGCAGAAAAAACATGGTAAAAACTACAGCATTAGGGCAAAAAAATTAGATAATCCAGTATATTCAAATAACAGTACATATCAGTAATTTATTCTCTTTCCATTAAAAAAGTCTATTAAACATGTACTCCCCAAAATATTTCTATTTTCCTTTTCCCAATTTTTAAAAAATAATTCTTTCATATACAGAAAACCTATCTTTATGTTAATTTGACTGACCACGTATTTTTCAACCAGGTGTTATCTCTGACATTTTTGTGGTGGTAGTATATTGATTTTATGCTAACAAATATAAAATCTGGAAAACAGTATTCCTTTTGTCATCAGCATTGTAGCACAATCCACAGAGGAAATATTAATGTTATAACAATTAGATACATTGCGTTTTATTTCAGGACTCCTGTGAATAGTAAGTAAATTGATATTGTGCCTCAGAGAGCTTTATACATATTCATGCGCTATATGTCCAAAACCTTGGTTCTTTTACTTACTCAGCTATTTTTAGTAGAGGAAGCAAGGGATGTTGTTAAGAGAGACTACTTGGATTCATATGAATTATAACATGTAATATTTTTACCTGTTCTTGTTCTTACCATTAGGATCATGCTTTCATCTCGATATTAAACTTCAGAAATTTTGCTGCTCTCTCCATGTATAGGATGCCATAGTGCGGAGATGTCCTATGGTTGTGCAGTAGTAACACTTAAAGAGAGTATTCCCGGGATCATGATACACACAGTCAAAACACATCCAATGACTATTAAGTGCTATGGGTCTTGACGATTACAGTTTTAAATACACAGTGGTAGGAAATAGGACTGTGAATAATGTCGAGGAAAGCACACGAGAACATGTTTGCTCTGCCAATATTCAGCATCACTTGATGGGCAAAGTAGTTATAAATAGTATAAAATTCTAATTAATCAAGGAAGGAAGTACGCTAAGTTTTTCCATTATGTCTTGGAGCAGTTGTTTATTTCTCAAACGCAATTAACTAACAACACTTAATGCAGCTCCAGAATTAAAAAGAAGGAAAAACTTGTGAGAGGATTGATGTAGGGGCTACAGATCCACTGAACATTCACAGAAGTTATTACTCAGAGCTGCCATGGTCTGTTGTTGTTTTATTGCTGAATAAAGTTCTTTTAGTAGCTCACAATATGTATTAACTAAAAAATAAGTTGCTTTGTTAAACAACTTGGTCATTTTATTATTATTATTATCATTATTATTATTTTTTTTGAGTTGGAGTCTTACTCTGTCGCCCAGACTGGAGTGCAGTGGCACGCTCCCGGTCACCGCAGCCTCGACCCGCTGGGCTCCGGTGACCCTTCCACCTTAGCCTTTCAAGTAGCTGGAACTACAGGCACGCGTTACCACACCCAGCTAATTTTTTTGATTTATTGTAGAGATGAGGTCTCGCCAAGTTGCCCAGGCGGGTCTTGAACCCGCTGGCTGAGGCAATCCACTCACCTCGGCCTACCAAAAAGCCGGGATTACAGGCTGAGGCACTGAGCCCGGTCGATCATTTTATTATTAAGAAATTTCCTTTGTTGAAGCACAATAGATTTTTTTTTTCCTAAATAAACTTAAGAGAGTTAATCCCCAGCCAAAATAATAATAATAATAAAAAATAGACTGTAGTTGAAAATTATTGATAGTTGCATTGTAACTTGAGCTTCAGTCAGGAACATATTATTTACCAAAAGTAAAAAAAAAAAAAAATTCTTTAGAGTTAAAAATACGTACGATTTATGTTATCAATTTAGATTAGTTCTTTAATACAAACACTCACAACACATATATGATTGGCGCCTCCAACAACAAATTGCATGTAATTAATTTGTAGATGTTGAGAGCTGAAACAAGACTTCTCTTGGTATAGCACAAGGGACAAAATGATTCAAAATTAGAAATAAAAAAATCTAATCTTGGCAATCATTGCCATTGATTTTTATGAGTTCGACCTTGCTTTTTCTGAGCTGTCCGATTGTTGCTATTTTAAAAATCTCTGAACTTTATTTATGCTGCACCTTTTCTTTCTTCTCAAACTTTCACAAGGGTCCACCCATATAGCTACCAAATCCTATAATTTTGGGGGGTGGAACAACATCTCCTCGTTAGCCACAACTTGTTTTGATCTTCGCAGAAAATGCTCCCATGGAGCCTCCTATGCTATGACAGGTTGACCTGTGAGTATGAGCTGATTGATACACCAATGCGTTGCCATCCCTGCCCCAGTCTCATCTCCCTGCAATCCTGACCCAACTGTTGCTGCCCCACCCAGATTCTCTATCACAGACTTATTTTAATAATCAAAGCCCTGGTCTTCAAAAAAAAACTCCATCCACACTCTGACTTTAAACTGCATTCTTGCCTTCATTCTCTCCCGTGTGTTTCCTATGTAAGTTTTCTTATTTAGTTGAAAGGATCTCTGGGTTACTCCTTGTGAGAGAATATGTTTGTCATCTCTGTTTTCCCACACTTTTTCAACTCATCTAAATAATATCTATCCTTCAAAACTCAATTCATATTATATATATTTCAGGAAATCTTTCCTGTTCAACCCAAATTAAAATCCAAAACAACAGCTAAAACTATATACATTTTTTCCTCAACTCCCATCTCACTGGCCACTGACATTATGACTTGAGACATTTGCTCCTTTGAACTCACATTTTCCCTGAGGTTGTCTCTCACTGGGGCTTATGTATCTCTGTATCCTCAAATGTTGACTAGAACATAATCCAAGGAGGCCAAAAATTTTGGCCTGAATGTGTCTTCTCATGTGATGACAGATGTGTTAACTTCCAAATCGTCAGTAAATCTTCATGGGGCAATTGTTTCTTACAATAATCCTGACTCAGGGTGACTCATCACTGCCTCTGAGCATGTAACCCAACAGGACTCAATAAAACTCTTTCCTAAATGAGCATGACTTAATCATCCCCTGTGGTGACTGATAACCAGCATATGTTCTCAAAATGTGAAGTAGTATTTACTTGTCCCAAATCAGAAAATAATTGAAATTGACATCAATTTCCAACTGAGATAACATTACAATATTGAAAATTGAAAAGAAATCTTGTTAGAAATTCACAAAGTGAATAAAAGTGAAGATATGCAAGAAAATTGTACCAAGCAAATGTGGAAAATCAGGACATATTATTTCATGATTATTGTAAAATACAAAGCCCAGGAAAATAGCTTTGGCAGTTATCTCGACTTTCTCTCTCCCTCTAACTTTTGTAAGATTACACCTAATTTTCTGCAATGATAATAATGAAGAGGTTAGAAATGAATGTGATAGAACCATTAAAATCAAGAAA